TTCCAAACATTTGGCCAAGGAAAATCCTTCAAACATGGTTCATTTGTGTATAAAAAGCCTAAAGAACATTCATGGTACATTTGGTAAGTGTTTTAACTCTAAGAAACTCAATTGACAAGTCCATACCAAGTCTAACATCAATTCTGCTCAAAATTTAGGGTTTTCAAGGACGGGGCAGGTTTCGTATTTTGATCACCAAGCACTCAATTTAACTCGGAATTGAGCATGGTTAGTGGCATTGGAAAATACATTCATAAAGCTATAATTTTACAGAAGAAATCATTATGAAATTCAGCACACAACTAGCTCAAATTCAAGCTTCAAGTTGTAGCTTCTGAACTTCATTCCAGGAAAACAGAGAAACAGGACAGTCATCTTTAAATGGTTTGTACGGGCTACTCAGGTGGAATTAGGGGTTGTATTTTATACCAAATGAAAGCTGGGAATGTCTAGTTTCCAGTGCCGCAAACGGCACTCGATTCCGACATCGGAGCGATGAATTATAGCCAAAACAAGCTGGCTGTCTGGTAGTGACGGGAATCATTTCCCAGTTTTGCAGATTCTAAAACTCAACATGCACTCACCCAAATCACGTAAAATTTTGAGGAAACTTTAAACACAACCTATATTTTATATTTTCATCAGAAACAAGTCAATTGGATTTCAAGAAAATACACTAAAATGCACGAAATTAGCAAGGCAGAATCGGCATCATCACATGCAGCTCCTCATTTGACTTCCTTTTCATTTTTGCCACTTAACTCTACTAAATTAGCACTTAATCAACACAATCACCATCCAATCCTAGCTAATCAGATCATCCAAGTCATTGTGAGATTTCATAGAGCCCACTCACCAATTTTCCAACAATTTAAAGCTGCCCATGAGAATCCAAGAGCTCATGAGTGAAATCTATCTTCCATAAAACAAGAATTAAGTGGTTGATCATTACTTACTTCCTTAGAGAGCCAAGACAGAGATTTTCGGTCACTTTGAGCTGGAGAAAAACCGTGAGAGGCAGCTCATTTCCTAGCTTATCTTGATCACCAAGTGATTTGAGGGTTGCATGTAAAATTTGGGAGGAATTGAGCAAGGAATTGAGGAGAGAGGGTGGAGGAATTTTCTGGTCTAGCTCTCCCTTGGCTGTGTGTGTGATTCTGTAACCTTACATGTATCAATTATTATTCGAACCCTAAATTTGGGTTCTATAATTGGTATCAGAACTAGACTACGAGGTTAATCTTGAGTGTTTCTGTGAGGACCCGAAAAATTTTCATATTTTATATTCTTTTATTTTATTTCTTCGTGTGCCATTTTTTTACCTTACCTTATTATATTAATTGACCAAAGATTTTTATAAGAAAGTACAGTTTTAAAAAATTTTTCGAGTATAAATTAGTTTATGGGACATTAGTAGTGTATATTGTACGTGGGACCCGCTAGGGTATTTAGTGTAGTGAATTTTGACGACTAGGTAAAGTTTTGTATTAAGGGACATTATTTTACTAGGTATTAGGAGATGATTAGAGATTAGCTAGATTAATTAGTATTAGGAGATAAGAGGATGAGATAAACATTAGAGGTGCCACGTGTCGCGTTATTATTCGAAGGTGGACCTTGACCAAAGCTTTCTTACTTTCCTAAAATCAATTTCGACCAAAATTTCCTCTCACTTTTTCTTGCTTTGGCCAGCCATTGAGGAGAAAGAAAAGAGAGAAAACCTTCAACATGTCTCTCAATTCCAAGCTCAAATCTTGAGTTCCAACCATTAAAACCTCAAATTACTCCATAAAAGCTCCTTGCTAGGAAGGATTAAAGAAGTTGGTGGAGTGATTTTGGAAGAGAAAGCACTAAGCTACCTTATCTCTTGTGGTTCTAAGGTACTTTGCCAAGAAATTCCCTCTTTGTTCTTAATAATGGTAAATTAGTGGTTTTTAGTGGCTAAATATGCTATTTTGTGGAAGATTTCATGATTTGAGGTAGAGTTAGATAAATTTCAGATTTATTGGTGATTTTTCTGCCCTTATATGATAATTATTGTTTGGCCATGGAATGATGTTTGATATGGTGTAAAATGAAACTTTTATATGTTAGTTGTGGGTGTTTGCAAAAAATTTCAGGTTGTAGAGTAAAATTTCAATTTTAGGATTTCCAAAATTAGGGCTTTACTATGGTTGGTTGTTGAGCTCTTAATTGGCTAAGATTGAAGGGTATTGTAACCCTAATGAGGTGTGTTGAATAGCCTATGATTTGTATGTGTACTTGTGGTTAGTTTTGGAGCTACTAATTGATTGTACATGAAGGGTATTGTGACCCTAATTAAGTGTGTTAAATGGTTTATGATTTGTATGTGAAATTGTGGCTGAATTGAAATGAGATTGGGTGGATGTTAGGTTGGAAAAGTAAAGAGAAACAAGGAAAGTGCTGCTGAAATTTTCGCAGGACCCTTGAGCAATTATGGGAAATCTGTTGTATCTTAATGAAAAAAAATTAGAATGAAGTTCTATTTGTTGTGTTTGAAACTAGATTCATAGAGCTACAAACCATGAAAATTTTAGACCCTAGTTCTGTCTGTGTGATTTATGGTGATTTTCCAAATTTGACTGAAATTACATACCTGTTCTGTCTTTTACTGGATGAAGTAGCAACTTGAGGCTTGAATTTGACTGACTTGTGGTATGAATCTTATAAATGTTCTTCTGAGAAATTGTACCCCTTTGAGTCTATTTTCCGACGGTATAAATTTTATCAATTTTGGATTTAAGAATCTTGAGATATGATTTTTCAAATGGTGGTGCGCAAAATTGAAAAATCCTATTTTCCTAGAATTATTCTTACTTTCATTTTGCACCTAAAGTTTGGAGTTAGTAAATTATTGTAGGTATGGTTTTGAGTAGAAGCAAAGGGTTTTTGGATCGTTCATGTCTTTAGGACCAACTACTACTTTTCACTCCAAAACTATACTTTTGTGTTGCATTGGTAATTTACTTGGTTAGGCATATGACTCGTAATCGAGTCTCAATTGTTTTACCTTGGTGGTTTAGGACGTGCCAGTGGCTAGTTATTCGAGTCGAGTCGAGCCGGCAAGGATTTAGTCGATTAGATAACGAACTACGGTAGTCTATTTCTGGAAAATCTTTGGATATTGGAGACTCTGGATTTCCAGTATACTCGAGTATTACTACTTCTATTTCTGTTGAGGTGTTCGGGTCCGATGAGGAGTATGTTTGGTGGACGGAATTAGCGTTAAAGTGGTACTCTATTGGACGGGTTATTTTATTTGAAAGTTGACGGAATTTTGGCTCCTGAGAGTCACCTGTTGTAAGGATCGAAGACAACCTAAGAGGAGGGTGAATTAGGTTTTCTAAAACCAGCTAAGATATAGGTCACTCTTTTTTCAAGCCTACCCTTCTTTTCTCAAAGACCACTCAATAGATCAAATTACAAGAAAGCACAGGTGTTCGTGAGATGAAGAGGTAAACAGTTTATATAGTAAAACTATAAATGAAAGTAGAGGAACAAACCAGACTTCAAACTCCACTTGAGTTTGAACAACACTTTATATAGCAAGTTACTTCAAGTTGAACAGTCTTGCAACCAATTTCTTGTGTACAAGGGAATGATCACTTCCTCATTGCCCGAAACCTCACTTGATCAAGCAAGAAAGTTTTACAATCACTCGGATAACCCTCACAATGCTACACTATTGAAGAAGTTATGTCACACTTGAAAAGCTACTAGAAAAATTGCACAAGTTGAGAATACAAAAGTTCCTTTGGAGTATTCTAACACTTAAAACCCTCACGATTTGATGTAGACTTAATGTGCAAAATTACTCTGAGGTGGTTGACTTTGTTCTTTTTATAGGAGACCAAAAAATTCTTCAATTAATGCTGTCAACGGATAGAAAGTATCTGAAGAGTCAATTAGCAGTTGGTGCTATCGGACGTCCGATAGTCAGCTTTTATGTGTCCGAGTGAGGTCAGTGAGTTCGAGAAATTTTCTTGAACCTCTTAGGACGTCCAATCCCCTCTCACCATGGGTTCGAGGGTAAGATGCAGACTTGGAGGTTCCTCTTCAATTCCTTCGGACGGCCGATGCGTCCAATGTGTTGCATCCGAAGTGCAGCAACGCTTGTCGGACGTCTGATGCTCAGGTGTTGAGTGTCCGATCGTGATCAGTAATCATAGAAGCCCTGACTTATCTTCTTCGGACGTCCGAGTTTGAGTTCTTCATACGTCCGAAGTTACTCAATGGATGTCGGACGTCCGATACTCTCCTTTTGTGCGTCCGACATCTTTCTCAGCACTATTCACCTTTTTTGATCTTCTTTTTGCTCTAAGTCCTCAGACCTGTTTAGTGTCATTTCTAAAAAGAGTCTCTACAAAAAGTATTAGTAACATCCGTTTGTTTTGTAATCATCAAAAGATATGAATTGAGATAAACAATCTCCTCCTTTTTTATGATGACAAAACACTTGGATAGAGCAAACAGAAAAATAGAAATACGAGCTGGGATAACAACTCTCCCTAACGAAGTGCATGAGTATACGAAAAGAAATGCAACTCCCCCTAACTAATTTTTTTTTTACATCATCAGTGCTAATCCATTTCTCCCCCTTTTTATCATCACAAAAGGAGGTATACCATGTCTGATCAATTTTGATACCAGCAACATCAGATAACATCAGCACGATCCACCAGAAACATTAGCAACAAAAAATTTGACAACAAGGATTTTTCAATCAAATAATATCAACAAAATCCATTCATGCTCAGCACAATCCGGAATCATCAGAAACATTCATTCATAACAAACACATCCATTCACAACAGATAACATCAGAAACACTCAGTCATAGCATCCATAAACAGTAAAAAACATCCAGTTTTACAGACCAGAAGTATAACTCTTAGTACAAAAGTTTTGCATACGAAAAGTTTTGTAGTGCAAAAGGTGAACTATAGTCCTAAAAATAAAGTGCAGTGACCTAACAGTGTCTAGATAGTGATTTTAGATGATCCAGGCTTCCTCCTGGCCAGACGAAACTGTTCAGGAGCCACTTCTTCCTCAGTTTCTTCATCGCCTTCTTCATATGTCTCCTCAGTAGCTGGAGCCTTGCCTTTATCCTTGGACAGAGAGCTGGAAGCTGGTGTGGCCTCAGTACCAGTAGTTGGCCCTATGGGCTCAGGTCTTGGCTCTTTCTGATGAGCATTTTCATTGTTTTCAGGTATTGGAGGCACAAGTAGGTTCCTTTTTTCAATGAAAGAAGATTGTTGGGCAGGGGTCATGGTCATCATGAGACCATCTTCAATAAGCATAACATGCTGTTTGAGATTTTCAAGCAAGGAGATGATCTCAGAATTGGAAGAGATGAACTTGCTGGCAGACTTTCTAGGATGAATGGTGAAAGGAGAGACATAGTCTGACTGATCACGAGGAGTCCTAGGAGTGACAGGGGTTTCATGAAAGTTTTTTCTTCTAAACTCAGCCACAGTCTCCTTATAACACCAATGGCCATCAAAAAATCTGAAGTTCTTTCTTTCAAAATAAGCTTTTGAGAAAACTGTTGAAGCACTGTCTTTGGGTGATTTTTCAGAAAAAGGTATTTCAAAATGGGTAAAAATAGGGGTCAGAAATTTTTCATAAGAGAGTTTCCTACGACTGTCAGAGCTAATTTTGAGCAGAAACTTGTACATCACAAAACTAAAGTCAATGCGAATTTTTTCAACAAAATAGTAGAAAAGGTAGAGTTCCATTTTGTTTGCACCTGTTCTGTGACCATCAGTTGGTACCAACAGATTTGAAATAATGGTGAAAATGATCAGATTCCGAGGACTGAGATCATCTAATCTTGCTTCAGCAGGAGTATTGAAATGGGTTTGAAAATAGGTCATGAGTTTAGCAATGTAAAAATGATGGTAGGCAGAAGGAAATTCCTCATACGAAAAGAAATTTACAATTTTTCCTTTATAACCTTCTTCAATTTTTGTTTTCAAAATGGAATTTACAATGTCAGGTGTTAATGTGATGTTCACAGAGTTGACCCTGGAGATGAGTTCTGTGTGTGAGTTTCCCTTTCTAAGATTAACAAAGAATTGATAAAGCATGTCAGGGTAAAAGGTATTAGGAATGGTCAGAAGATGAACCCATTTTTGAAATTCAAATAGCTTAATAACAGGTTCAAGATCAAGCTTACGAAATTCATGGGGAAGGATGAGCCTTTGGGTGATGAACCCTTTTTGAGAGACCAACTCAAACCTGTCTCTGGTTTCATCATCAATGAATTTTGGGAGAGGAGTGGGTTCTATTACGGGTTGTGATACTGGGTTCTATTACGGGTTGTGATACTGGATCCTTCCCAGAATGTTTCCTTTTCGAGGTTTGTGTGGCAGATGACCCAACATTTTGAGCCTCAGTCCTTGTCCTTGAAGATTTCCTGATGGAGGGTTCAGGTGTTTGCTGATTCTCAGCAATATTTCCTTCATTCTTCTGATCATCAGAGGGATCAGCAGATTGCTTTTTCTTGGATTGGGGAGTGCTCTTCCTTTTTGCAGTTCTTTTTCTTTTACCAAATGACCTTGTGACAGTTTCATCATCCTGGGTAGCCCGTTCTGGTTCCTTGTTTCCACCAACTGTGTTTCCTTCAGAGTTATGCTCTTCTATCTGCTTATCAGATGGTTCAGTAGTTGGAGAAATCCATTTTCTTTGGGCAGTTTGCTTCACCTTACCACCGCGGGTCACAATCTTCTTTTTAGGTGCATTGGTAGACGGTTCCACAATTTCAATGTCCTCATCTCTAAGTTTAAAAGACCGTCCAGCACTAGTAGATCCTCCTCTGATTCTAACCATGATACAATGTGGATGTGTTTTTTATGCAGAACGTGCTGTATAGAGGAAGAATGCAGTATGAGCAAACGAGAATGCACTGAAATGCCACAAGGAGAGAGTTATGAGAAGTTAGGGTATCACATGTGAATTGGAAACTATGGGGTAGTTGGGGGTTATGAGTTTTATGGGTGGTTAACGGGCAATAGAGGTGTAATGGCGTTGGTTGAGTCAATTTTTTGAAACTTGATTTGAGGAGAGAGGAATTTGAATTTTAAATATGAGAGGAAACTGAAAGGTTGCGTCCGAGACCATGGAGGAAAATGAAGTGAGGAAGATGGGTAACTGCCTTATAAGCCTCAATTTTTTTAGTGTCGGACGTCCGAACGAAGTGAAGTGTCCGACACAACCGTCTGAACCAATGCTTTTCTGAAACGGGACGAAGAACACTGTCGGACATCCGTTCCAATTCATCGGACGTCCGATAAAGAACGAAACTTAGAATATTTTTTCTGAAACGCCCAGTTTTGTTCTCAAGAACACAAATTGATCCAGTGGAAGAGCTTTTGTGAGAATATCAGCGATTTGATCTTTAGAACAAACAAACTGAACACAGATTACCCCCTTGGAAACAAGATCGCGAATGAAATGATGCTTTATATCTATGTGCTTAGTCCTAGAGTGTTGAATGGAATTTTTTGTCAGATTAATTGTACTAGTGTTGCCACAGTACATAGGTACACATTCATATATTAAACCAAAATCATTCAATGTGTTTTTCATCCATAACAATTGAGCACAACAAGCACCAGCAGCAACATATTTAGCTTCAGTAGTGGACAATGAGATAGCATTTTGTTTTTTACTAAACCAAGATACTAAGCAATTTCCAAGAAAGTTGCATATACCAGTAGTACTTTTTCTATCTATTTTACAACCACCGAAGTCAGCATCAGAGAATCCACATAAAGAAAGTTCATGACATTTTGGATACCACAGGCCAAAGTTTAGGGTTGCTTTAAGATATTTAAGAATTTTTTTTACCGCATTCAAGTGTGATTGCTTTGGACAGGATTGAAATCGAGCATATAAGCATACAACAAACATGATATCAGGCCTACTGGTAGTTAAATAAAGTAAACTTCCAATCATACATCTATACTTCTTTTCCTCTACTTTTGTACCTTCTTCATCTTTGTCAAGTTTGATAGATGTGCACATAGGTGTTCCAACAGGTTTTGAGTTCTCCATTTCGAATCTTTTCAGCAGCTCTTTGGTATATTTTGTTTGATTTATGAACGTTCCATCTTGGGTTTGAACCACTTGGAGTCTAAGAAAGAAGTTTAATTCTCTCATCATGTTCATTTCAAATTCTTTTTGCATGATATTGGAAAAGTCCTTGCACAAGCTCTCATTAGTAGCACCAAATATGATATCATCCACATATATTTGCACAATTAAAAGATCTTGTGAGCTTTGTTTTGTGAAAAGTGTAGTCTATACAATACCCCTTTTAAAACCATTTTCAATCAAAAACACACTCAAACGTTCATACCATACTCTAGGAGCCTGTTTTAATTCGTATAAAGCTTTTGAAAGTTTAAAAACATGATCTGGATAAGATTCATTTTCAAAACCAGGAGGTTGGTCAACATAGACTTCTTGATCTATAAAGCCATTTAAGAAGGCACTTTTAACATCCATTTGAAATAATTTAAAATTCTTGAAACATGCGAATGCTAGAAACATTCTAATAGACTCCAGCCTAGCTACAGGTGTAAAGGACTCATCAAAGTCTATTCCCTCTTCTTGAGTGTATCCCTTAGCCACCAGCCTGATCTTATTTCTAACAACCTCCCCTTTATCATTCATTTTGTTTCTAAAAATCCACTTTGTGCCAATGATAGGATGGTCCTGTGGTCTAACTACTAATGTCCAAACTTTGTTTCTTTCAAATTGATTTAACTCCTCTTCCATGGCTAAAATCCAGTTCTCATCTTTCAATGCATTAACAACATTTTTGGGCTCAAAATGTGAGACCAATGCAAAGTTGTCTATTAATTGTCTAGAGGAAGAATGTGTTCTGACATTTTCAGATGGATCCCTAATAATAAGTTCCTTGGGATGATTTTGGACGAATTTCCAGGCTCTTGGAAGATCATTAGGAATTCCAGTGTCACTGTCATTGTCTTCTCTGGCAGGACTGCCTTGATTGTCATCTTCCTTTGAATTATTTTTTGATGAAGCTATGCCTTGATTGCTGATTGTTAGCTTCTTTAATTCTTTTCGAACACCTGTATCATCATCTTCACTGCAACTCATGCAAGTGTCACCATTAGATTCATCAAAAATGATATGTATAGCTTCTTCTATAACCAAAGTTCTACGATTATAAACTCTAAAACCTCTTTTGTTTTCACAATATCCCAAAGAAAATTCCCTCATCAGATTTCTTGTCAAACTTTCCAAGATGTTCCTTGATGTTCAAAATGAAACATTTACAACCAAAGACTTTAAAGTAACCAACAACAGACTTTTTGTCAAACATGAGCTCATAGGAAGTTTTGTTCAAAATTGGTCTTAAGAGAACTCTGTTCGTGGTATAACAAGCTGTGTTTATGGCTTCAATCCAAAAATACTTTGGTAAATTGTATTCACTAAGCATGGTTATAGCAGCATCTTGGAGAGTTCTATTTTTTCTTTCTGCAACTCCATTTTGTTGGGGGATTCTAGCAATAGAGAATTCATGTGTAATGCCATTGTTATCACAAAAATCTGGAAAGCCACAAAAATGAAATTCAGTGCCATTATCACTTCTAATTTGATAATTTTCAAGCCAATCAAATTCTGAACTTTAGCAAATAGTGATACGAAATTCTTAAAAGCATCATCTTTATGTGCAAGAAACATCACCCATGTATATCTGGAATAATCATCAACAACAACAAAACAGAATCTCTTACCACCAAGGCTTGTAGTTTGTATAGGACCAAACAAATCAAGATATAAAAGTTCTAGTGGCTTTGAAGTAGAAACACATTTCTTGGGTTTAAAAGATACCTTGACTTGTTTTCCAAATTGGCAAGCACCACATATCTGGTCCTTTTCGAATCTGATTTTTGGGAGACCTTTAACAAGATCCTTTTTAGAAATTTCTTTTAACAAATCCATATTGAAGTAACAAAACCTTCTATGCCATAACCATGGGTCCTCATTTGCTACTTTGAGACATTTGAGATAGGAGGAATCAATTTATTCAAGAACAACTACATAGATATCATTAACTCTTTTTCCCTTGAAAATAGTGTTGAACTTTGAGTCAAATATGAGACATTCAAGCTTCTTGAACAATACAAACAGATTCCTATCACACAATTGGCTAACACTTAATAAATTGTAGCTCAGATTGTCAACAAGAAGGACATTGTGGATAAGGGTTTGACCATTCTTACCAACATCACCAATACCAACAGTTTTGGTTTTGTTATCATCTCTAAACGTTACCTTTCCACTTGCTTTTGGTTTGAGTTTAATGAATTGTGATGCATCACCAGTCATATGTCTTGAACATCCATTATCAATGAACCATTTTGATTCTTTAGCAATGTTATCCAAGTTCACCTACACACAAACCCACAAGATAATACTTGGTACCCTTTACATGTTGGGTCCTTGAGAGTTAGGATTGTGTCTAACCATCCACATACATCTCATGTCATTTCTCATGTTTTTCTTAACATAACAATTGCTATTTATGTGACTGTAGACACCAAAATTTTAGCTTTCATTTACTTATTTATTTAGGTGATTATGTTTATTTGTTTATTTATTTTTTGTTTGTTTTATCTTAGTTTCATTTTTTGTTAAGAAAATTGCTTTATTATTATTTAATTTATTGAAAAAATCAAAGGGACAAGAGCAAGACACATAAGCCTACTTTGGGGTTTGAAATCTTGACCTTTCATATTAGGTTTAGTTTTTTGAGGTGTCTTTAAAATGCAAATAGCCGCAAACAAAAGAGGGGAAAACAATTAGAGAAGAGGGCTTCGTCTGAGGCTAGAGGAAAAAACAGAAGGAGAAAAATAGAGAACAGACAAGGGGCGGCGGACTAGGGCTTCGAAAAAAAAAGAAAGCAGAGAAAAATGAGAGAAATGGATGAGGCAGCAGAGAGTAAGTGACGGCTGGAAATCTGGTTTTTTGGTTGGAGAGGAGAGTAACGACTGGGGTTTGGAAATAGAGGGGAGGGGCTAAGAGGAAAGGTAAGGTTTTTAGGCAAGGAGAGAACTACTTGCAGAGGGAGAAACAGTCGGATAAAGGTTGGGGACTGAGGGAAAAAGGAAAGAACGACGGGATGGCTGAGGAAGAAAAAAGAAAGCAAAAACGCAAGGGGAAAACAGAGGGGGGAGGCTTCGGTTTCAATGATTGGCGAGGAAAAATTTCCAACCACCATAGCAACCACCTCAACTCCATCTGCTGCCTGCCCAGACTCTTCCTCATGCTATCAGCCCAAGCCGCCACTAACCTGCATCCGCCGTCACTGCTGTCCGTCATCTCAACTCCCGCTGCCACCGTAGCCATCGAAGCAGCAGGGGCTTCTACTGCCACCTTCATCAGGCTGTCTACCATCAGTGCCTCCATAACCAAGGCACAACTCAAATACCCCACTGACCAGCAAGGAAAAGTCTCGAGTCGCTCTCTCTCTCCTTCGAACTGAGAAGAACCCAGAACGGATACTCGACAGTTTGCCACTGCCACCACAGAAATCCGCCGTCATCCACGAATTCTCATCGCAAGAGGCCACTGTAAGTTGCTCTTTTCCTTACATTTCTTTACAGCATGTTTGTCGTAGGCTGCTATGGCAGAGGTTCTATGTCGATTATTCATAATTTTGAGAACATACGTGCTTTGTACATTGATGGAGCTGAATGTTTTGATTTTCGATCATTTTTTGGGCTAGTTGTGATTTCAATTTGAGCAAGAATCTTGTGGGATTTTGATACCTACAACCTGTTCGATGAAATGCCTGATTGGGAATTCTAATTGAAAGTTGATTTGTCTGCAATTTTGTGTGTGAAGAATCCGGATAAGTTAGCAAGTTTCGTTCCTTTGTGATTGGGGAGATTTTGATGTATTGGTGTCTTACATTTCTCTGTTTTTTCACTCCCGTATGCTTCCCCTCGTACGAATTTGAATTTATGTGAAGAAAGAGTTTGAATTTGGAGTGGCCAGAGTTGAACTTTCTAGTTCTTCTTCATTGGCAAAAATAGTAGGAAAACAGCAGCGGATGGCTAGTCCATTGGGGAAGATGACTGCTTGGCCAGTTTTACATTTTCCTCTGCTTTGTAATTTAACCCCAGAGTTTTAGAATTTCATAATTCGACCCCAAAACTGTCATAAGTCTTTTATTCTTTTGACTTCTTGAATGGGGGTTGTTTACATGATTTGATTGATTCAATTTCACGATTCATTTTTATCTTTTGTGATTATTCGTTAATTAAAATGATGCCTTGACCTTTTCTTTGTATTTTGGAGGGCAAATAAGTGATTTCATTTCATTAGGGCCCCAATTCAAGGGAGGTACACCCTTTCCCTCATTTCTTACTTTATTTGATTCTACGTGCCTTAAGTGATGTTACGTGCTTAATTGCATGCCTCTTAAATGTTTTATTATTTATTGATTTATTTATTTATTCGCTTTATTGGCTTTAATTTGTATATTTATTTTTAGTTCAATTTTGATCATTTGAAAGGCACTTGAATGCCAAATTTGTAATAGTTAGGTATTTATTTTAATTATTTCCCCTTTTAGATTGTAGTAGGCTTCCCCCGAATGTAATAGTTAGGACTTTATTTGCTTTATTTGCCTTCTGTGTGATTTGCATGTCTATGTGCTATGTGTTACCGCTTTCTTAGGGTCTTGCATCTAGATATCATGCTTATGTGTTATGTGCTATATGTGATTTATGTGTTCACATGATTTTATTAGCTCTTACATGATTTATTTGATTGTAACCGATGCGTGACGTCACCACACTAGTCCAATGCTAGTTGTGGTCAATTTCGCGAATCCACACTAGTCCAACGCTAGTTGTGGCCATTTGTTCCAACTTTTCTCAACTAGTCCAATGTTAGTGGGAAATTGTAGATAAGGGCTAGTCCAATGCTAGACCCTTAAGAGCCCTTCGAGCGTTAGATCATGTTTGTATGATTACATTACACTTCATGCATATTTTTCCATTTTTTAGGATCTTTATCATTTTCACCTAATATTTCCCCTAATAAAATATCCCTTACCCCTATGTATATATAACATTTAGATTTGCATCTCATTTAGGAAATTAGGGGGTAGATTAGTGCATTTTGCCTAATTAGACTAGAGATAACCCCTTGAATATGGGATATGGACAAGTTTGGTTTCTCTAGCCTTAGCACGCTCGTATTCCCTCTATTAAAGGGAACATTGAGTCACGAACATTAGTCCCACGTACCCGACATCATGCATTCCTTTAGGTCACGTATATTTATTTTTATTTTTTCCTTTTTTAGAGTCTCATATTTTTGCATTATTCGTGACCTCTCCAAAGAGTCCGCATTGGGCATCATAATTAATATGATTGGTACCAATTGAGCTTTGAAGAGAAATTTCGACCCCCCGATACCTTCTTAGGTCTAGGGTTTGTATTCATATAGTACATCCAAATGTGATAAATATTTAGGTTAAAATAAGAAAATCTTTGACTAAATCGCGCAACTAGCCTTGATTAGGTTGAAAGGGTGTCTTGGATTCTTATCTTTGCCTTCCCTTTCTTCAAATGTAACTCTCGAATCTTTTTCTCTTATTTTCGTAGATTTGGAGTCGTTTAAAAAGGATTTTTTACTTTTTTCTTTAAAAAAATTCATTTTTTAGGTGACTTGGTACACCCTAACTTTATACCAAGTGGCGACTCCATTTTTCATTCAAAACCCTTTTTAAACTATATTTTGGGTTAAATCGTCGCATTTTCAAGTCCCATTTAGACCCATATTTTTCATTCTCTTTGTAAACCAAAAATTCATTTTCCAATAAAAAATTGAATCAAAATCCATTTTTCCAAACTCATCTTTTAATTTATTTTTCTTATTTAAAAAATGGGGCGCGACAGCTGGCGACTCGACTGGGGAATTAGAGAGTTCGAGCAAATTTGATTTAGTCGATTTTTTTTCTTCTTTTAACCTTTTCGTATATCGCATTTGGGTGTTTAGGGTTGCATTTTTCCTTTTTTTTTAGGATTTTTGCATTTCGCGTGTATCAACTCACTCCCTCACCTATTTGCGTACGATTGGTTTGATGGATGGATGGTTTATTTATGTAATCTCGCACCTTGCATTGCATTTGGGTGGGGGACATTACCCTAGAATCTCGCATTGGTTCTTGATCCCTCCCCTCAAAAATAAGAAGCACTTCATACCTGCATGTACAGTCTTATTTACCCTATTTTTTTTTCTTTTTCGTGGGCGCCATCCCACATCTCCCTGTAGGATTAGGATCGATTGCTTTAGGTATGCGGATGGTGTGTACTGCGCCCATAGCGATACCTGAGGGATCACTCGAGCCACCGACCGAAGGTCTTGGAAGTGATGACCCTTCGCCTTTAGGTCTGAAGGTTTGGGAGCCGGAGCCTTATCGAGTCTAGATGCATTAGTGAGCTAAAGCTCATGCATCCATATTAGAATTACCTAGGGTAGAGTCTGCTTTACCCTATTAGGGACACTATTCACGAGGGGAGGGATCCAACCCTCTTTTTCTTTTATTGCTCTATCTCTTTGTATTGCTTTGCTACAATGTGTTATGTGTATTTATCTGATTGAATTAACTTTTCTTGGTTTTTTTGTCTCCATTGCATTCATAAGCCCTAGAAAAATAAGAGTCCTGGCATGGTACTCTCTAGGAGCCTACCCTATTTGATGTGACACATTTAAAATTTAATGTTTTGCATTTGCACCATGAATCCATTTCATTTTAGGCTCACCCTGGCATACAAAAAGGGGTTCCCTTTAGGTCACGTACTGCTTTTATAAAATGGCATCATACATAAACCCTAGAAAGGGAATGCCATTTAGGGGATCCCGTGATAGGAATAAACCATCTCGTGTCTCGGATACTTAATTCAAGGAAACTTGCACGTTTACATTTTGTACCATCCAAAGGGGTAGTGCACAAGGTAAGGTAGGATCCGATCATTTTCATAGAGTGATCTTTGGAATATGAGCATCTAACAATCATGTTTTGGCCATTTTAAATAAAATTGATAAAAATTCCCTTGCATAAAGGACATTGACTTGAAGAAGTTCACAAATAATTCCTCATTGTTAAGACGATAAATGTATTGAGGCCAAATTTTGATTTTAGGAGACTCATAAACTAATGCATTGCAATGATTTTCTTGAAACTACCAATGGATAGACAATTCGATCAATTTTTGAATAAACCATCAATTTCATCCAATCCATTGGACCATTTTATTCATCAATTTCATTCAATCCATTTTGCCAATTCATTCAAATTTAGGACAATCTAATCATTTTTTAATAAATCATTAACTCCATTTCATTCATTCGGCCAATTCACCCATTTTTAGGGCAATCGAACCGATTTTGAATAAATCAAGTTTCATTCAATCCATTTGACCAATCTACCCTTTTTTAGGGTGATCCGATCAATTTTGAATAAATCAAATTTCATTCAATTCATTTGACCAGCTTACCTATTTTTAGGGCAATTCGGCCGATTTTGAATAAATTATCAATTTCATCCTATTCATTTGACCTGTTTATTCCCTTTAGGGTTTAAATCTAAGGTTCGCTGAATAAATTAGTCAAGGCATTGCAATCCTTTTGAGAGTAGACTTTTTCACATATCATGTGTTGATCAAACCAAGCAATCCATTCGGACTTTGTCCTCACTTTTTAGGACAAAGGTCTCTTCTCACTCCAATTGGCCAAATTTTTCAAATTATTTTTCGCTCAATCAGTTGATTGGATTCATCGGGTATTGTATGGTGCATACCATAGAGGATTGCATTTTCATGCTAGGCCTACCCTTGGCATAAAAGAGCTCCCCCGTAGGACATGCATACCGATTTTGTAGTCTTGCTTACTAACTCTGGGTATTTTTCTTTTTATTCTTTTTCCCCCTCCCCCCTACATTCATAAAAATGTTTCAATAAGGTGAAAATATTTTTTCTATGTCTGATAACAATTTTTGATCCGAAAAGTGTGAAAAGTATTACTTGATTCTTGAGCAGACCCTGCGATAAAAGCATGAAGGATCTATTTGGAAGCGTTACGCTAAAGCCTTTAAGAGATTTCATAATTATTTTTCAAAGGAAAATTCTGTATATTTGACTTGTTAATACATTTTTGTCCCAAAAGAAAAGGAGACAAAAGGTGTATATATGTGGAGCTCTTTAAAAGTTTTTCTCTTCTCGTTTGTATTATAATTGAACGAGAAATTTTGTTTTAAACTTTTTCAGCAATAAAGTTTTTGGACAATTGTTGTTTTGTGTATATTCATGTACATTTCATTTTTTATTTTTTCTCATTGGAGATTTCATGATGAATTTTAAGAAATAAGACCAAATTGAGATTTTTTTTTCAAC